GTTTATATGTTGAATTATAACGTACTTCCACCTCAAATGAATAGTGGTATATAATACTCAGCTTCAGATTTCCAATAAGATACGAATAGTACAATGTATAATAAAAGAACATATATTATACTGCGAGTTAAAAAAGGGCGAACAGTTTTGTATATCCGGTTCTAACTGGTTAACTGCGAAAACACGACTTAGGATATATATATATTATATGTAGCATTGTTCTGACACACGTATTTTGACATAAAACCGGACTTTTTCTGAAATGATGTGCCATATTTTCCCCATAGTTCGATTCTATGAGACCAATTTATGCATAAATCCCAAATTTTCTAAAATTCATGCAAACCATTTCGAAGCCATTTGCGTTCAAAATTTTTTGCTAAATTTCATTGGGGTGCCAATATAACTTCACTTCACTAACTTCTGCCTTAGGTTAACCATGATATTTTTCATTTCTTTGTGGAGTTTTTTTTTTTTTTTTTTTTTTTTTTTTTTTTTCTGAACTGCAGCCATGAAAAATTAGCAATGCCCTCGCCGGGACTTGAATCTGGACCTGTCGATAACGTGCGGAAATTTCTAACTGTTACACCAGAATGCAGAAAGAAGGGAGAAAATACCTTATAGCTTTATTGAATGATCACGTGCAAAAATGTTTAGGAACTTATATAAAATAAAAACTCTTATAAATTTTACATTTTAAACATAAAGTTGTTCAAATTCTCAAAAGATCTTAAAACTGCTTTAAACTACATGTTTCAAACGTAAAAAGATGTCAGAAGAATAGTTAGAAAATTTTCTAGAAAAGACGTTATTTTAAAATTTCATTCATTTGCAATTAAAATTTGATACTTAGGTTCATCTACCATATCAAAAGATTAAGTATTCAAATTTAATATATGATTATATACCCTTACATAAACAAAAAAAATTTTTTTTTACGTTTTTATATTAAAATTCAGTTTTTTTTAAGATTTTTGAAACAAACCTTACGTAAAAATTCGCTCTAGAAAAAAAGTAGTTCTAACCTTTGCCATTTAAAAGATAGATGGTTTTTTTATATTTGCTTTTGAGAAAAATATTTGTATTTAATCCTTTAAGCTGTATTTGTTGTTGTTGCTTTGAAGTGGCCTGACATTTGCAAATTAATGCAGTCGTCGACAGTGGTCAATAGCCATCGGTCATTTAGCCATCTTGTCACCGAGAACGTTGTCCAAAGCGCATCACAAGGGGCGACCCATTTTTACACTCTCGACAACGGTTGCAGTTCCTCAGTAATGTAAGAATTATTTGCCCCACCCGCTGTTTTAAGAAATATTACGGGATTAAAATAATATTATTTAGTAACCACAAGTTAAAAAACAAATACTGGTAGAATCAGGTATAGTGAACTTGATGGCTAAAGATGTCTAGAAATATTTCTGTCTTTGAAAACTAATTGCAACCTTTCCATTGAAACAATTGGCAGTGCTCAACCTTCTATCTTTTTATTGAAGATTCTCCCCGGCATTCACCTGTGTGGCTTCATTTATAGATAGCTTTTTGTAAATTTACGGGTAAAGCGATATTTGGATTACGCCATATTAAGGAATTTTTCTGTATATTTATCATCAGCAGAATAATTATCACCGTGTTTCACAGCAGAAGTAAACATACGAAAATAGGTATATTAATAAATGATGAACAAATAAATTAAGAGATAAGAAAGCAAACGAAATCGAATGTAAACGTCTTGCATACTATCATAACGATAACATTTAGAATAATTAAAACCACATCATAGTTTCCAATATTCTTCCTTTAAACACAATTTTTATAGAAATTTAATTCGTTAGTTTTCTTTTGAGCATTCATGTGCTTTTGATTTCGATTTTTAAACATATGCAGTGTCAAAAATGTCTCATTCAGGATGGTAATTGCATCCCCATAATTAAAACCAGCTGCTCTAATGTTAGTTTAACGATTAATTTGATATTTTTAATTGAAATGACATAATTAATTTTGCTTGATAAGTTTTAAAATAAAAGAAATATTAGCATTTTTTATTGTTTTGTACAACAAGAGGAAATTTTAAGTTTTACTTTTATTATTTTTCCTTCTTACACATGTATTTCAAGGTAAATTCTCTTGAACAAATGTTTCTTAGTTCATGGTTCATGAAATTTTTCCCAACTGTGCCATTCCAAAAATATATTTATTTTTTAGTTTCGTGTCAATGGCTTGGTTTATTGAGATTATGGCAAAGCACGCTAGGGCTATCTGCCTAAACGAAGGGATGCCTTCGTGGAGGACTTTCTAAGGGAAACTGGCTCGAATGCACGTTAAACATGGGGAAAAACCACGAAAACGCCCATGTCGTCAGTCCGTTCACGGGATTCGAATCTCAGACCGAACTACCAGTGTTCAGCAACTTTACCGCTCGGCCGCTGGTGGGAATAGTTTCGTGTTAATGAAGATTTTAAAAAAGTATATGTAAAAGTATTCGAAAACTTCATGGAATAGTAGTTAAGACATAGGGTCATTAGTTATTTTGAAGCAGGAGACGTCAAAAATATGCATTACCCTCTCCGGGACTCGAACCCTGTGTTATGGAGGTTTGATTATGAAATAGTGGACTGTAGTTTAAAAAATGAATTTATTATCAATGCACAGATTGCATTGGACAAAAGTTTTACACTCCGCTAGCTGCTGGAGCTCGAGCAAATATGTACATCCACCCCGCTAGAGGACGTTCCTAGTTATTAGTGGTGGCGCTACGATATACATTGCGTAACAGCCTCCCGCGTTGAAATTTTGAAAATTTCAAAATACATATAAACAAATTACACATTAAATATTATACATATTAAACAAAAAATATATGAAGTTAATACAAAGCATATTACAAAAATAAACAATTAGAGAAATATTACATAAATTGAAAAAGGCTCTTAAGATATATACCAGATTTATAATTATCATTTATGGGTAACAAAGAAATTTGAGTAATTCCTCGTTTTACTACTCCATTAGCTGTTCTGATATACACAACTCTAACAGCGTTGTCTGCACCTTTAACAAAGCTTTCGATTCGACCAAGTTTCCATTTGTATGGAGGCAAATCTTTATCCTTAAGAATAACCATGTCATTGTGTTTCACATTATTTTTTAGAAACATCCATTTGTTTTGCAAGTTTAAATGATTAAGGTAATCAAGTGACCATCGTTTCCAAATACATTGAACAAATTTGTTGTTCTTTGCCATCTTGTTAAATAATTGTATGGTTTATCGATTATCGTTTGTTCTGCAATAGAATTTAATGGACGTCCAATTAGAAAATGACCTGGGATCAATGCAGTTAAATCACTGGGGTCTGCTGACATTGGACTGATTGGTCGGCTATTTAAGATCCCATCTATTTGTGTAAAAACTGTCAACAATTCTTCAAATGTTAATTTAGATGAACCAGTTACTTTTCGTAAGTGGTATTTGAAGGATTTAACTCCTGATTCCCATAACCCACCAAAGTTTGAAGACCTGGGAGGGATGAATTTCCATTTACTACCTTCGGATGTTAAATAGTTCGCTAAATCTTCCTCTGGATTATTCATAAATTTGTGTAATCTCTTTAGCTCTGCATTTGCCCCAATGAAATTCTTAGCATTGTCAGAGAATATACATGAACATTTTCCTCTTCTTGAGAAGAAACGTTTTAATGTTGCTATAAGAGCCTTTGATGTTAAATCAGTGATAAGCTCTAAATGAATTGCCTTTGGTGGCAAAACATACGAATATTGCTACATATACCTTTTGAGAGGTTCCTTTACGTTGACCCTTATAAGAAAAGGACCGCAGAAGTCAATCCCACACTTAAACAAGGTTGGGCTTGGATTGACTCGCTCCATTGGTAAATTTCCCATTAATTGATTAGAATTGATTGGTTTGTTTTTGAAACAAATCACACAAGCATTTGCAATCTTTCTAGCCAGATTTCTACCTCCGATGGGCCAAAACTCTTGTCTGACAAAATGCAAAAGTGCCTGTGGACCCACAGGCAAGTTTTTCTTATAAAAATATTCCATAATAATTTCAGTGAACCTATGCCTAGCCAGTAATAGCTTTTTGGGTTTTGAATCCCTACTCAATTGAGAATTTTGTAATCGACTTCCAACTCTAAAAAGTTCATTTTGATCTAAAAAGGGATTTTACTTTCTTACCTGACTCAGCTTCAAGTCCTTGTTATGTTTTAAACAATTAATTTCATGGCTGAAAGTTGCATGTTGAACTAATTTAATTAAATGATTAGATGCACTTATTACTTCTTCTGTTGTTAACTTACCAACTTGCCGATTCTCAGGACATTTGATATTATTTATAAATCTGCAAATATAACTAAAAACATGTACAAGTTTAGTAAAACTGTTACTAATATTTAAAAAAATCATCAATGAAATTATTAGTAGGGTTAGAAACTAAAACAGGATTATAATCAGTCTTTAGTTCATTAGATTAATCATTATCAGTCATGTTAATAGGTTCCTTAGAAGATGGGGAATGTTCGAGTTTAAAAATGAAGGGCCAGTCCACCACATAGAGTTCTGCAGAAGACTGGTCACACTGGTTCCTCTAAATATGAAGTCAGCAGTATTGCTTTCAGAAGAAACATGTCTCCAATCATAGTCAGGACATAGTTCGTTGATTAGTTTAACTCGGTTGGACACAAAGGGTTTAAGTCTTTCATGAGGAGTTTTTATCCATGCCAACGTTATCATAGAGCCCGACCACAGGTACACATGATGAAACTCAACTTGAATAATGGAGATGACCTTTGAAGTTAGTCGAGCAAGTAGCAACGCTGCACATAATTCTAGCCTGGGTACTATTAAGGATTTTATCGGAGATAGTCTAGATTTAGCGCATAACAATGTTGATTTACACTGTCCTTGGCTATTTTTTTAGCTTATGTAGATTGCTGCACCATAGGCACGTTCCAACGCATCGCTGAATCCATGTAATTCAATCATTATGGGATTTGTAATGACCAAATTCCTAGGAGCCTAACTTGATTTAAAGCAGGAAGTTGGATTAAGAAATTTAACCATTCCTTCACATCATTGGGAGGAATTGGATCAGACCATTTTAATTTTTGTCTCCACAGATTTTGTAGAAATATCTTTGCCCTTGTAATCACTGGACCAATTAGTCCGAGAGGATCAAACAGGCTTGCTATGGTAGATAGAACATCTCTTTTTATGAAACTTGCCTCTGATTCTATATTAACCTTAAAGGTTAAATTATCGGAAATACATGCCCAAAACATGCCGAGAGTTTTCACAAGATGGGAATCTGAAGAAAAGTTATATTCAATAGCCTTGTTGTCGTTTAACAAGTCTGGATGGTTTGAAACACATTTATGTAACTGGATGCCACCCTTGTTCAATAGATTTATTAACTCAACTTGCAAAGAAATTGTGTCTTCTAAATTTTCTGAACCTGATAAAATATCATTCACGTAGACGTCGGTAAATAAAACTGCGGAAGCACGGGGAAAACAAACTTGCACCTCCTCAGCTAAAGCTTTTAAAGTTCTAGTGGCCAAATACGGGGCACATGTTGTACCATATGTAATTGTTCTCAGTCTGTAAGTTTCAACAGGTGAGCACGAACTTGATTTCCACAAAATCCTCTGGAGTTCTCTATCAGTTTCTTCGACAAGAATTTGCCTGTACATTTTAGTAATGTCTGTGCTAAATACATATGTATGTGTTCGAAAACGAGTTACTATTGAGAAGAGATCTTGCTGCACAATTCCACCATTGAGTAATAAAGAGTTGAGACTTACTCCATTTGCGCACTTTGCTGATGCATCAAACACGACGCGAAGAGGGGTAGAAATGCTTTCTGGTCGGAATACTGCGTGATGTGAGATGCAATAATTTTCACTGCAGTTCTCGCAGTCTGAAGTAACCTTTTCCATATGATTTAATGCAAGATATTCGTTCATGGATGCCGTATATAAAGCGGACATAGTTTGATTTTTGTCCAATTTGTTCCAGAGCAAATTTAGACGTCCTTCGCCATTGATTTAGATTCTCCTAAACTACAACGTTTGCCTTCCTTAATGGGTAATCTAACAATAAATCTTTCAGTGTCATCGCGCTTGTGAGTGGCTATAAAATGTTGCTCACAATATTCTCTTTCAAATGTTTGAGAATTGTCATTTGTATCATCTCCTGGAAAGGATTCAACTTCAAAGAATTTTTTGATAGAATGTTCTAAAGAATCCTCTTGAGACATACGAGTTGTAGGGTTTATATTTATTTTAACTAACATTTATTTTAAGTTTAAACTATCTTTCCTGTCAAGCCTTACTTTCCCCTGGAACTGCCAATGCCAGAATATGTAAATTTTAGTAGAACGCGCAAGCATTCAAATTATCAGCGGAAGTATTATGATTTAAATAGAAGGAAACGAGTTCGGTGAGAGATTCTTACTTAGCGAGCGCGGAGGGTAGTTAGCGAGAATTGAAGAACCCCGCGTTGCGGCCTATGTGCTTGGCGGGAAGTAGTGGTAATCGTTTCCAGTGAGCTTCAAGTCTGCTGAATTAGCAGCGGTATTGTAAAACGCGGTGACTTAGTTATTTTAGAGAGCCTCGTAGTTAGAATCTTGTCTTTACTTTTCTTTTCAGGTTATTATTTTTATTTGACTGCCAAGTTGGCACAGTCTGTAAGCGTCAAGAGGACGCAATTGTAATTTATTACGTTGAATAAAAAGGGACTTAAAAACCCTTCACTAGGCTCTATCTTTTATACAAGTTTTCACAGTCACCTCTTGGTTGCGTGCAAGTTGGAGGCGCCCAACGTTATATTGGCGCCCCCCCCCACTTCCCGAACACTTATCGAACTGAAATGGCCGAAAATTGGATGGAAGCCGCTGGACAACACCAAGAAATGACAACTCAGTTAGAAGGATTTGGATACCTGGTCCAGACTTTGAGAGCATCAATCAAGCCAAACGTCCATTTCGACGGAAAAAATTCGGTGGCGGTATTTTTAGAAGGTCTAGAAAACCACTTTCAGCTCTACCCTGTGCCTGAAAGACAAAATGTTGCCATCGCCACATCAGCACTAAGAGGACAGGCCGCGCTATGGTGGAAAAATATAGGCAAATTTCTTCTAGGTGAATTTGGAAGCCCGACGTATACATTTGAAAATTTCAAAAAATCGTTAGTAAAGGCCTTCCCCATAGTGAAAGATCGCGCACGGCTGGAAGCCGAGCTATATAGTTTCTATCAACGGGATACAGCACAATGACGGACTTTATTTTACGAAAAATCAAGCTAACGGATATGCTGTATGGAAAAAAAAACCCGATGCGGAGATAATTGAAATAATATTACCAAGATTGTTACCCGCTGTCCAAGACTACTTTGAAATTAGAAACCCAAGCACATTGCAGGAACTTTTCGAATTGGCGGTGAAGTTTCAAAATCGCAGAATAGCGGAAAGAGCGAGAGGGGAACATATTCTCAAAGTACCCGAAGGAAGGAGGAAACCAGAAATGGAAATCGCTCTTATGGGGGAAAAAACTATCAAGCTAACGCATCGAAACTCGAAGGTCAAGGCCCAAAAAGAAAATTTGAAAATAAACATCCGCGTACCCAGAAGACACAGATTGAAAGGAAAGCTTTAAACGACTAGAGGGGCCTGTGAAAGGGAGGGTCCAGACCCCGGAAGTTTTAAAAAAACCCTCAAATAGACATTTAAACACGGTCATCGTAAAAAACTCACAGCTACCAATTATACAAGTCCTGGTTGGCGATGTACCAGTAGAAGCCCTCATAGATACAGGAGCAGAAGGAAATTTTATGAGTGAAAAGTTCTTCAAAAAGAATTTTTATAGGATACGACTATTTAAAACCAGAAATACGGAAATTATAGCGGCGCAAGAAACATGTCACTGCATCGGGAAATTATCATTAAACTTACAGGTAAAAGAGGAAAATCTCAAAGTATTAATTTTTGTGGTGAAACACCTGCAACACTCTCTTATTTTAGGTATGGACTTTCTAAGGGCCGCGAGGGTCAAATTAAATTTTCAAGATAGTTCCGTGTGTGGTGTTGGAGATGGACCAGAGGGTGGTGGAAGCCTGTGGAGACACCTGAATTGGACCTTAGCCATCTGAATGACCAGGAAAGTAAAGCAATACAGCAAGTGGTAAGTAATTTTTCTCATTTGTTTTCAGAAAAACCAGGAAACTGCCAAATCGTGACTCATAGATTCAATTAAATGCCGAAAAACCTTGTAGGACTAAACCGTATCGTTATGATAAACAAAAAGACCTAATCATCGAAGAACATATTCAGGAGATGTTAAAGAATAAAATAATAACGCCCATAAATAGTGAGTACGCGAGTCCAGTCGTACTATGTAGGAAAAAAGAACGAGTTTCCTCCTTCGGATAAAAGGGCTTGGAGGTTTGCTATCGATTACAGAAAAACTAAATAGTATTACTAAATTTCCAGTTTACCCTTTGCCGGTTATAGACGAGATCATTAGACAGATCAAATCGACAAGATATATGTCTACTTTGGACTTAACGTCTGGCTACTATCAAATAGCTATGAGACCCGAAGATATACATAAAACCGCGTTTATAACAAAATCGGGCACTTATGCATTTTTACGCATGCCCTTTGGGTTGTGTGGGGCCCCATCAACATTCCAGAGAGCTATGGACATTGTTCTAAAGCCTGTCCTAGGAAAATCAACTTTAATTTATCTAGATGATATAATTATAACGAGTAGTACGTTGGAACAACACATTAATGACCTCGAACAAGTTTTTAAATTATTAAAAGAGGCCGGTCTTACAATTAACGCCTCAAAATGCAAGAAAGTTCGCAACTAAAGAAACTTAAATATCTCGGTTATAAAATTTCGCAAAAGGGTATAGAAACGCAAGATTCAAAAATAAAAGCTATTAAGAATTTCCCCCACCGCCCAACACCGCCAAGAAACTTTCATCTTTCCTTGGATATGTTCTTACTATCGATCTTTCATAAAAGATTTCGCTAATATTGTTGAACCACTCTTAGTAATCAAAAGAAAAAAGAGTAAATTTACGTGGACAGCGGAGGAAGCTAACACAGCTTTTGAAAGATTAAAAGAAGCGCTTATTAATGCCCCTGTTTTTTTAAAATTCCCTGAGGGGGACGAAAACCTGGAAATTGCAGCAGATGCGTCAGGACTATGCGGTGGGTGCGGTTCTTATGCAAAATAACCATCCGCTGGCATTTTTTAGTAAAACGTTGAATCAGACACAAAGGAATTATACAGCTACAGAAAGAGAAACATTAGCCGTATTAATGGCTGTACACAAATTTCGAGTTTATTTCGGCAAATCGCCAGTAACAGTCTTTTCGGATCATGCGGCTGTTGGTAGACTTTACTCGGGGGAAAAAACCTAACGCCCAGGTTAATAAGATGGGCTTTAAAACTCCAAGAAATAATAATATCACAATAAAATATAAACCGGGTAAGGAAAACAATGTAGCTGACGCACTTTCTCGTATAAAACTGGACGACGAAGGAAATGAACTTAAATGCGCTGTGTTGACTTCAAAAATTTTAGATTCTAGAGATACGGTTATTACTGAACTGAAAGCTGATCCTGAATTTGGAAATATCTATGCATATTTGAAAGACCCCGAAAGCTTTGAGCACACAGATATCGATGCGATAAGAAATAGAGCAGAAAAACTATGAAATAATAGATAATTTATTATTTTATACGAAAACAACAACGAAAATCTCGAGTACAAACCAGTCATCCCAGCCTCGCTTCGATTAAGCATTTTGAAGGAATTACACGACGCGAAAAAAACAGCGGGTCATTTAGGGGTCAGAAAAACTTTAAAAAGGGTACGCGAGGCGGTATATTTCCCGCAATTATACAAAATAGTAACGGCGTATGTCAGGTCCTGCAATCAATGTCAGTTAATAAATGATATATTACAGCCCGGCCGGGTACTTAAATAGCATTCGCGCTACATTTCCGAATGAAATTTTAGGCATAGATCTCCTTGGTCCCTTCCCCCAGCCGAGTAAATAAATAAAAATCGTTTTCTTTTAGTAATAGTAGATCATTTTTCAAAATGGATAGAAATTGTTCCACTTAAACGCGCGTCAGCCAAAACAGTCGCAGATGCATTCTTACACAGATACATTTTATTAAAATACGGTGCACCGATAAAAGTCATTAGCGATAACGGAAAACAATTCATTAGTCAAATATTTGAAAAACATATGCAATGGACTTGGCATACGCCATATCAAAATGGTTCCGTATAGACCACAGGCTAACATAGCAGAAAGAGTTAATAAAAAACATTGTAAAAATAATTCGCAGTTACGTTAGCACACATCACAAGCGCTGGGATGGCTACATAAATGAATTAGCTTATGCTTTAAGAACGGCAACATCATGATACTACGGGAAAAACTCCAGCAGAATTATTTTTAGGCAGAAAGTTAATTACGCCTTTAGATAAATTATTCTTTGTGCAACAAAGAGAGCAGGAGAATTTAAACAAACAAGATGTGCAAAAGCTTAATTGATCAGGCACTTAAAACCTCGGACACGGCAAGAAATAGACAGAAAATTTATTATGATAGAAAACGCCGTGAAGCAGATTTTAAAGTTGGGGATAAAGTATTGAAGCGGAAATTTTCTTTATCAAGTGCCCCAGACAATTTTATGGCAAAGCTAGCTCCAAAGTTTGAAGGCCCCTATGTAATTCAGGAAATCAAAGGGGTAGTATTATATCTTAAGAACGACAGAGGGGAAATCTGTAAAGCAAGTCTCGACCAGGTGAAAAAATACTATAATCCAAATGATTTTGAAATCCTTAAAAGTTTCTTGCAGGACTCAAGTCTAAACGAAGGTTCAGAGACTACAACAACTATTCCACCACCCAAGAAACAGAGAACTGAAGAGAGACCTAGCACTTATACAACCCGGACGTC